TTCCTGCCTGGGGTGGAGGGCGCTGGCCGGAGCCTCTCTGGGGCTGTGGGGACATGGGCACCAAGGCCCACGAGGTTCCGGGATGCTTTGGGGAGGCGGGGGCTGTCTGCCAGGCCGAGCCTACCACCCACCAGGCGCTGAAGGAGCTCCTGGAGACGTGGGGCAGCAGCAGTGCCATCCGCCACGTGCCCCTGGTGCAGCAGCGCTACATCAGCAAGGCCATCCTCATCTGCCTGGCGCACCTGGGGGAGGCGGAGCTCCGGGACAGCCGGCATGGTGAGCACGCAGTGGGTGCCCCATCCCCACTGCCCCCGCCGGAGCCCCATCCTCCCCCCAGCTCAGCCCATGCGCATCGGTGCTTCCAGAGTTGTTGGCCAGCCTGATGGAGGGAGTGAAGAGCCGCCTGGACAGCAGCCTGACCCCCGTGCGCCGCTTGGGCATGATCGTGGCTGAGGTGGCCAGCGCCCGGATCCACCCCGAGGGGCCTCCCCTGAAGTTCCAGGTGAGCAAAGGCTGCGCCCGCCATTCTCTCCCTGAGCTGCCTACACTCCTGCCCCAATGTCACCCTGCCTGCCTGTGTCCAGGACCACGGAGCATCTGTGCTTGGTGTCGAGTTGGCCCTGGTGGCCCTGCTGAGGCCGCGGCTGGGAGGGGAGTGGAGGCGCAGCCCCTCAGCTCGTGCCTGAGCACATGTCCCCAGGTGGATTCTCTAGACGGGACTCTCAGGCCTCCCCTCCATCTGCCGAGCCCTCTGGGATGTCCTTGGAGACGGTGCCACATCTGCTCTGTGTCTGGGGGATTCCCAGGCCCTCCAGCCTTCAGCCCCCGCAGTGCCACCCTCTGCAGAGGGGGAAACCTGGACAGTTGCTCTTGAAAGACCGTTGGCTGCCAGAGGCCAGAAGCGCAGACTGCGGGCTGTGATGGGAGGGCCTCGCAGGGGCCCAGCTGTACCACTCCCACTGCTCCCGTCCCAGCCAACTCCAGCTCATCTGCATTGCAGTATGAAGAGGATGAGCTGACCCGCGAGATGCTGGCTTTGGCCATGCCCCGGCCCACGGCTGACGACCCCTCGGAGGCGGGGTGAGGGTCTCTGTGCCCCGATCCCTGGTCCCCGCCTGGAGCTCTGGGCGTGGTGGGCCAGGTGGGGTGGCTGCTGCACACCTGTTACTCCTGTCCTGCTATCGCTGAGGCAGAAGCTAAGATGAGGGTGGGGGCGGTGAGAGCGCTTCCTCGGGAAGCATGGGTTCTGGGATGAGAGACTTGTGGGGCACCTCTGAGGGATCCTTCTCTGTCCCCAAAGCCCGTCTTTTGCTCCGGTCAGTGGAGAGACTCCTGACAGAGAGACTGTGGACCGCAGCGGACCCCAGGCTGGGCCTGAGGGCTCCGACTCTGAGCTGGACAGGTGGGGGCAGCCCCATGGGGGAGAGTGCGAGGGTCCTGGTGGGGCCCGCCTCAGGGTGTGGGCCCTGCGGCGCCGGTTCCCTCTGCCTCATGAGTCCTCCTCCCACCCGGAAATCAGCCCACGGGGCTCTCAGCCTGGCAGCCATTCCCGAAGCTTCAGGGACTGGGGGTGAGTCCCGGGTGACAGGCAGGTCTGCGTGTCTGTTCTTCCTCAGCGATGATGAGTTTGTCCCGTACGACATGTCGGTAGACAGGGAGCAGAGAAGCAGCAAGGCGCCCTCGTATGTGCGGGGCTGTTTGGAAGGTGTGCCCCCGCCCCCGCCCTGGGTCCCCCGCATGCTGCCCACCCTGCCCGCCGGCTCCGCCTCACTCAGGCACCATGTGGGTTCTGGGCAGCTCTGACCGGGTCCGAGGACTGGGAGCGCTGGGAGGCGGCCCTGTGGGCCCTCGAGGGGCTGATCTTCAGGAGCCCAGCTGCCACTCAGGAGGTGAGCGCGTGAGGGCTGGGCTGTCAGGGTTGCAGGAGATGGGTGATGGCTTGGCAAGGGCGTGTGTCTTCAGGGAGCCCCATGTGCCCCACATGGGCCTTGGCAGCAGGGCCTCTGCCGGGGTGGGGGGTGGGGGGCGCAGCCCAGGCTCCTCGAGACAGGCCCCTTCTGTCGAGCACACTAACCCTGTGCGCAGGTGAGCGTGGAGCTGGCCAAGGTGCTGCTGCACCTGGAGGAGAAGACAGCCGTGGCGGGGTTCGAGGGGCTTCGCCAGAGGGCCCTGGTGGCCGTCACAGTCACAGACCCAGCTCGGGTGAGTCCCCGTAGCTGAGTGGAGACCGGGTCGTGCCCCCAGCAGGGGCTGTGCTGGGGCCCTGTCTCCAGGATTGTGGCCCTCAGAGGCCTCTCATCCGCCCGGCCTAGGTGGCGGAGTACCTGACCACACAGTTCTACGCCCTCAACTACAGCCTCCGGCAGCGCATGGACATTCTGGACGTAAGTGCCTGGGCTTCTGTCCCACTCATCAGGGCTGGACTGGCAGGCCTGGTGCAAAGGCCCTGGAGAGGGAGCAAGCATTTGCCAGAATCTATAGGGATGGGACCACAGGCCTCCCCAAGCCCCTTGTTGCCAGACCTGAGAGGCTGGGACCAGCGTCTGTCTGATGTTTTCTTGACAGGGCATGGGCTTCAGGGGCTGCATTCTTTGTTTTAGATAACAGCGTTACTGAGGTATGATGCACACACCGTAAAACTCAGTCTTTTTTTTTTTTTTGTGGTACGCGGGCCTCTCACCGCTGTGGCCTCTCCCGTTGCGGAGCACAGGCTCCGGACGCACAGGCTCAGCGGCCATGGCTCACGGGCCCAGCTGCTCCGCGGCATGTGGCATCTTTCCGGACCGGGGCACGAACCTGTGTCCCCTGCATCGGCAGGCAGACTCTCAGCCACTGCGCCACCAGGGAAACCCAGTAAACAGTTTTTTTACTTATCTTAATTAGCTTAGTTATGTGCCATCATTATATTTTCCTTCATGCTGCTGCACTCCACATTTTTAGTTGAACAGAGACAGATATTAATTATTTTAAAAGAGGTCTTGCTCTTGAAGCATTTTTGCCAATGGTTTTCCTTTATTACAGTGGTTATCCACATTTAGATGAAATCCAACTCAGGAAGAAAGCATAATGAAATGCATACTTACTGAAAACATTCAGTTAGGGTAGAGGAAAGCCTCCCAGAAGGTAGAATATTTCAAGGTTGTTTTAAAGTTTATCCTCATTATTTTTATTCATCGGACGCGCAGGCTCAGCGGCCATGGCTCACGGGCCTAGCCGCTCCGCGGCATGTGGCATCTTTCCGGACCGGGGCACGAACCCGTGTCCCCTGCATTGGCAGGCGGACTCTCAACCACTGCGCCACCAGGGAAGCCCAAAACTCAGTCTTAAAATAAGCAGAATGTGGTGGGTTCACACAGTGGAATATTACTTGGTCTTAAAAAGGAACGAAATTCTGACACCGTGCTCAGTGAAATAAGCCAGACTCAAAAGGACAAATAGCGTACAATTCCACTTACGTGAGGTCCCTGCAGCCGTCAGATTCACAGAGAAAGATAGCGGATGGTGGGTGCCAGGGGCTGGGAGAGGGGTGGGGAGTCAGGGTTTAATGGGACAGAGGTTCAGTTTGGGAGGATGAGAAGGTTCTGGAGGTGCTGGTGGTGACGGCGGCACCATGAGTTTACCTGGTGCCACTGAGCCGTGCTGAACAATTACCACGGTGAACGTCACACCACGTTTGTTCGTCACAGTGACACAGAGACTAAGACAAAGCTGAAAAAAAGTTCAGCGTTTCCGTGTTTACAGTTCAGGGGCGTTTGGTACTTTCCCGACGTCGTGTGACCATCACGTCCACCTGCTTTCAGGACGTCCCACATCACCCTCAAAAGAACCCAAGACGCTCCCTCCCCCACCCCCAGCCCCGCAGTCAGTCTGCTCTGTCTGTGCATCTGCGTGTCCTGGGTGCTTCCTAAAAACGAGGTCGCACTTGTGGCCTCCATGTCCGGCTCCGTCCACATATGACCTGGGCTGGGGTTCCTTCCCTTATCCTGAGAGGCGGGGGTGGCGGGATTGGATGGGCTTTGGGAGAAGTGACCAAAGGTTTCAGGCTCCTCAGCAGGGAGCACGCCCACCTCCCTCCTGTCCCCCCACAAAGTGAAGTGAGCCTGAGAGACTCGAACTGACTTGCATGGGGTTCCCAGAACCTCCCCCCTGAGGACTGCCGGGGCCTTCGAGGGCACCCGATTCACCTTGAAATTTGGAAGATGTCATCCTTCCCCAGTGGGATGGCGGCTGCCCCGGGTGTCTCCTCTCTTCTAGGTCCTGACTCTGGCCGCCCAGGAGCTGTCTCGGCCGGGGCGCCTTGGGAGGGCTCCCCAGCGGGGCTCCCCAGACCCCGGCTCCCAGCCTGGTGGTGCTGTGGTCCCGGCCTGGCGGGTGGTGGTGGAGGAGCGCGTCAGACGCAAGACCCGGCGGTTTTCCAAGGTCAGCCAGGCCCTGGGGTGGCCTTTTGGGTGGGACCTCTGCCCCCAGGGGACAGCGACCACAGTGTCCTGTGAAGGGAGGGTTTTTGGTACAAACTGAGTGATGTGACACATGCTGTTACGGCATCACATTGAAGTGACTTTAAAACGTGAATGCAGATGTGGGTGTGAAAACAGCCCCAAGGGTTCTCTGTCGGCAACAACTGGCCTGGCGTGTGCTGGGTCATTGGGGTCCCTCTAGGCCGGGGCTGAACGTGCTCCCCTGGGACATTGGGCCACGTCTGGAGACATTCTCAGTCGTCACCGGGGGTGGGGGGTGGTGCCTGCTCCTCTGGTGCTCAGGACCACCCCTCCCAAGTGTCCCAGGTGTGAGGTCCCCAGGCGAGGCTGTACGCTGTGCCCCGCCTGGCGCCCTGTGAGCACGTGTGTTTGGCAGGGCTCTGCGGGGCGGGCACCAGCCGTTGGCCCCAACGAATTCAACTCGGTGGCTGGCTACTTCTTCTTCCCCCTCCTTCAACACTTTGACAGGTGAGAGTTTTCTGGAGGCCTGCGATTTGGGGAACAGGAGCCCTGGCACCCGTGGGTGGGAGGGTCCCTAGGGTGGGGGCTAAGGTGGGATTTGGGTTCAGGGGGGTCAGGAACTCGGCTGTGATTGTTTGTAGCTTAAATCAAGTGACGTGAGGGCATTAGGCGTCAGGGTGTCCGTTACCTCCGGATGCTGGGTTCGTGGTGGGGCCGGGGCCAGAGCCTCACCCTGTGCCTCGACCCGGCGTGCCCTGCCGCCCCCGTGTGCATCCTTGTCCTGCCTCAGCCCGAGCGGGGTGCAGATTTCCCCCAGCCATCGCCACGTGGGTGCAAGGCTCTGTGGACAGAGGGAAGGGCCTGGAGCCCTTTGCTGCAGCGGCCCTGCAGGCAGAGGTCCTGCTTCCTGATCCAGGCCCGGGCTTGGCCAGGCGGCCTTGCAAAGTGACGAGGAGTCTGTCCAACACCTTCTTGTGGCTCTGGGCGCCATGTGGGGACAGGCAGTGAGGAGGGGCGTCCAGGGGCTTGGGGTGCCCTTGGTGGCCCACGAGGTTGGGGAGCCGGCCCTGAGTGCCTGGCCTGCACCATTCGCTGGGTTCTGTGTTGTAGGCCTCTAGTGACTTTTGACCTTTTGGGAGATGACCAGTTGGTTCTTGGGAGACTGGCCCACACCTTAGGGGCCCTGATGTACCTGGCTGTGAACACCACGGTGAGCTGGGACCCCGTTCCCCTGGCATCTGATGGCTCACCTCCTGTGGGGTCTGCACCATGTTCTGTCCCCCTGTGGGCCTTGCCTCGGGACAGGAGTGTTTGGACCTGAGGATGGGGTCTGAGGCGGGGACTGCTGTGTGCCAGGACCCCTGCCTACTGGCTTCTGCTATTTCAGGTGGCTGTGCCCATGGGCAAGGCCCTGCTGGAGTTCGTGTGGGCCCTTCGTTTCCATGGTGACGCGTGAGTAGCTACAGGGCTGAGGGGAGTCGGTGGGGTGGGGGTCCTGAATCCTGCTGGAAAGTGGACAGTGGGAGGTGGGTGGTGGCTTCCGGGGTGGCCGAGAGGCAGCCTGGCTGGGCGCTCCTGCAGCAGGAAGGGCCGGCGGGGCTTCCCTGGCGTGGGTGGAGGGCGCCAGGCTGTGGCTCTTCACGGCTCAGGCTCCTGCCTTCTCCACAGCTATGTGCGCCAGGGCTTGCTGTCTGCTGTCTCCGCCGTCCTCCTCAGCGTTCCGGCTGAGCGGCTGCTGGCAGACCTGCTGGACGAGCTGCTGGAGGCCCGGTCCTGGCTGGGAGGTGAGTGCTAGGCCGGGGTCACCGTGGCCGGGTGGCGGGAGGCTGGTGCAGCCTGGAGGGGCCGGGGGGCTGTCAGCTCGTGGGCAGCGTGGCCCAGTCCCCAGCCCAGCATGAGCATCATGTGGCTCCCGTTTGTGTGCTGAGTGTCCTCAGTGTGGGGGTGGGGACATGGCTGCTGTCGGGTCACTTTGACTTTGGGGAGTCCTGCAGGGAAGGCGCCCAGATGTGGGGGTGGCACCTGTGTATGCTGGAAAGTTCCATCCTCAGCAGAGTTACAGTGATGATTGGCATTTTGCCACATTTTCTCTGGCAGCCACCCCTTCCCCACACAGGTGCTCTTTTTAAAAAGTCGCTGTGGTCAGTAGTACCCCCACCTGTGGGCACTTGAGCCACGGCCCTCAGAGCCACCATGCCTGTGTCCACCCTCAGGGCTCGCAGCTCATCTGCATCCACACTGGCAGGCCTGGTGGTTCTGATGGCGGCCTTTCTCTCCCTTTCTGCCCAGTGAGGCAGCCCATGAGCCTCCTAGGCTCCTGCAGGCCAGCCCCCCCACATGGGCGTCTGAGCACATCTGCATTCAGTGTGTTGGGACGGCTCGGGGCCTTGTGCTGTGGGTGGAGGTGCCTCCCCGGCCGGGCTCCCAGCCCCAGGTGCTTTGCCGGCGTCTGAGGAGGTTCTGGTGCCACGCGGGGCTCATTCAGGAGGCCTCAAATGAGAGCAGCTGAAGAGGGCTGGCCTGCTCAGTGCTGTGACGCTGCCCACGCTTCCATTTCTGTCTTTGCAGACGTGGCCGAGGAGGACCCAGACGAGGACTGCAGGCTGCTGGCAGTGAAGGCACTACTGCTTCTGGAGAAGCTCCGAGATAAGCTCCTCCCACTCTCCTCTCCTTAGCCCCCGACCCCCCGGGAGGCACGTCCTGCTGGAAGAGTGCGGGCTGGGGGCCAGCACGTGGGGCGGAGGTGCAGCTGGTACAGCCTGGAGCATCTGCGGCTCAGCGAAGACTGCCTCAGGGCCTCGGGTTCTGCCCCCCACAGACTGGGACTGGGACGTGGCCTCTGAGACTTGGGCTCCAGGATGGCTGCTCAGCCCGGTGCCTCCGTGTAGCCTGCAGACTGCAGAGCTGGGGCCACTGGGCCTGGGGGCTTCTTAGCGATGTGCCCCCAGCCCTTCCTCACCGAAAGGCCAGGGACTTTAAGAACAACAGAAAAGGAAGAATAAAAGAGGTGCAGGAGCTCTTTATGGTTCTCACTTCTGCAGGGAGCCTGGTGCCCACACACGGCCCCCTGAAGGGGAGACATGGAAATGGGGGCAGGAAGGGGACACGGGCCTCTGAGAAAACAGACTTTATTTGGAGAATTTCGGCAGCTGGTGGGTGGAGCTGGGGGTGGGAAAGCATGAGGCAGCCCCCATCATGGTGCTGTCCCTGATGGCCCCTTACAGTGGGAGCTGGTGACGGAAAGGGCGCGGCCTAGATGTTTAGAGCCTCCCGCTGCAGCCCAGTGCCAACCATTGTCTCCCTGTGGTCAGGAGGGGGTGTCCTGTGGGAACCAATCAGATGCACTGCTGGGCAACCTGTGTGGGTGCTGGGGGGCGGGAATATGGGGACACCCTCAGTTTCTTAGGCTTTACACCCTGTACTTGGGGGAATGTCATGGGAAAAATGAACCAACTCCCTTGACTGCCGAGGGGCTAAAACAAAACCCTGCAGGGGTCAGGGACTCAGAAGGGGTGGCTTAGAGACCCTCCCACTGATGCCCCTCGGAGGCTAGCGCATTTTCCCTCAGCTCTGCCTACGGACTCAGACACAAAACTTTCACCAGGAACGTCAGGCTTCTGCTACTGACAATGACTGGCAAGTCCCAGAAGAGCCTGGGCAGCGGCAGGCCCTCAGGGGCCATTCTCCACCTCCTCCATCACCTCCTCGTCCAGCTCCTTGTGATCCTCCATGTTGTTGTGGTGCATCTGCTCCGGCATGGTCCACATCAGAGGGATGCCCAGGCCCTGGTGCACGGCGTCCACTGTGCGCTGGCTCACGTAGTACGACACGTTGGCGGAGGGTACTCTCTTCCGCATCTCCTCCAGGTACTTGTAGGCCTGGGTCACACACAACAGCCATGACCGGTCAGCGCACAGTGGGAACAAGGGGCCCAGCCCGGGGGCAGAGTGAACAGGGGAGGGACACCTTTGGTAAAGGGGCTCGGGTGGCCTCCCAGCCTTCCCAAGCGTTGGTGGCATCTGCGGGCAGCAAGGCTCAGGCTCCGGTGGTCAGTGCTGTGAGCTCCCCCAGGGAGTCCCATGGGCAGCCTGTTACCAGGACCCTCTGTGTCTGGGGACCACGCCCCGTAGGGTCCGCCCACCCTGGATACACACAGGGAGACCTCGAGGGAAGGATGGATTCATGTCTCCCGTTTGTTTCATTCACTCTGGGGTGTGTGCTTGTTGGGCCAGAGGGCCGGCAGCAACATACAAATGGTTTGTCTTGTGTATTTTGACCAGGCCTCCAATTTACCCCAGTTAATTGGCCTGTGGTTAGTGAGTCTCATGCCCGGGGCTGGTGAACTATGGGATTGTCAGTGGTTTTCCTGTAGGACTTCCTCTGGTCCTACCAGTGGGAATATGTTGGGGGGGGGGGCGGCGCATGGAGGCCGCACAGCAGCTCGGGATGGGGTCTGAGGCAGGACAGGTGTGCTTACACCTGCTCCACCTGCCTGCACCCACCCACACCTCCTTACACCTGCTCCACCTGCTCACCCACAGGGAGGGTCATGTGCAAGCACAAGGAGCTGGAACAGGGCCTCACGTGGCTTCTACGGGTACACTGAGTATCAATTCAGAATATGAACAAAATTTCCAGGAGCTTTTTGACTTTATGAGGAAATAATCACAGCTTAGCGTTTCTTAAAGATGATAAAATTTTAGAATGATCTTATTTCAGACAGATATAACTGATATAAACAATAAAGATCATAAAGATAAAATAGGGTGTTTGGAGGGATGGGGGATGCAGCGTGCAAGTGCCCAGGAGCCCTCCAACGATGGAAGGAGACATCCAGGCACCAGGGGACGCCCGTCGGTGTCTGCTGAGGGCCAGCTGTGAGCCAGGCGCCGTGCTGGGCACACAGGACACAGGTACAAGGGAGGACCAAGCCAGGCCACTGGGCGCTTCGGTGAGAAGCCCGGCCCAGCAAGGGTAGAGGGAGTTGGGCAGCCGTGGGGTTTGGGTAGGGGAGCCTACGCAGAGGGGAGGGGGTGGGAGACGGCGGGGAAGCCAGAGAGAACACCTGGGGGCGGGGAACGACACAGCCAGGCCTAGAGGTGCACTGGAGGCAAGGGAAGCAGTGTCTCCAGAAGGAGGGTCGGCAGTCTGTCAGGATTGGACTCAGGATGGGGCCATGAGGACCGAGCGGGAGGGATGTCCCAGCGACGGGGAGACCCTGGAGCAGCAGCGGGGGCTTCTGTGTCCCCTGCCCCCACCCGGGGAGGAAACTCATGCAGGCCTATCCTTTCTCAATTTATTTATAGATTTTTTTAAATTTAAAGTTACTAAATCCTATGGGCTTCAAACAAGGCTTGAGACAACAAAGAATTTGGTGAAATACTTGAAATGTGATTTTTCTGTTAATTTTGAGGATTCAGTGGTCTGAGCATCTCTGCAGTCCACTTTTGTTTTATTCTCCAAAAAAGAGGGAACCTGTTGGGATTCACTTTAGAGCTGTTTCCCCAACAACAAAAGGGGTCGGTAAGTGGAAGTGGCAGGGCCGGGAGGATGTGAGCAAGTTGGCCGGGAAGTCTGAGTTCATGGTGCTGACCCCCCAGACCTGGGCCACGGACGCTTGGCTTTCCTGGGAATCTGGGAACTGCGCCCCGTGAGGCCGGCGTGGCCCACTGGCAACGCTTCTGAATGAGTTGTCAGTCCTGGGTTTGCCAGCACTTGGGAAAGGAAGGCGGGGTCCCTCAGGGTCACTGCAGCCTCACCAGGAACTACCTGCGAGGGACAGGCTGTGGGCAGAGCACGTGGACTATAGCACAGTCTGTGTGCTGTCCTTTAGAACGTGAAGGGAAAATGCAGCCAGGTGGGGGTCCTGCTGCTGGTTTCAGAGGACTAAGACCGAAAAGAATGAGGACAGAGGCTTCTGGTGAGGGCAGGGGAACTCACATTAGACCAGCCCCCCTCCCAAACAACAAGGACAAACTAGGCAAAATGCAAAAGCCTCTGGAGAACAACTGTGGGCAGGTGGGCTGGGGGAGCCGACACTTGGGTGAGTTTTCTGCTTGTTGTAACTTCTGCCTCGGGGAGGCCCAGTCAGGGCCACTGGGGGAAGTAAAAGGCACAAAGAAACTGGCCAAAAGAACCAGAATCAGAACTGCATCCACCACAGCAGCTGGCATGTGAGGAAATGGTGAAGACAGTCGTGGAGCAGACAGATTCCGAGTGTGGGCTCTGCCCTGACCTCTGCTTGACCCTGACACTGCATGTGGTGGGGACCGGCCACACGCCAAGGAGCCTGAGCAAAGCCACGTACTGAGCAGAAAACCCTGCTGCCCACCACGGTGCGGGGGCTTACACTCTGAGCTCAACAAAGATGGCTGCCTAAGGAAAGCAAGACAGAGAGAAGACATAGCAGAAGCCAGGGTCTCTACAATGTGTTATCCACGATGTCCGGGATACAAAAAACTGCTAGACATAAAAAGAAACAGGAAAACCTGACCTATACTCAAGAGAAAAGACAAATAATGGAGACCAACTCAACATGTCCAGGTGTTTGAATTAGTGGCACAGACTTTGGAGCAGCAATTACAACTATGCTCAAGAGTATAAAATGTTCATTCTTAATGAATCAACAAATAGGAAATTTTAGCAGAAAACTAAAAAGAAAGAACTAAGTATAAATTCTAGAACAGAAAAATACAAAATCTAAAATGAAAAATCTGCTGGACAGGTTAACAGCGGATTGCAGATAGCCAAAGAGAGTCAGTAAATTTGAAGATAGTTATGTCACCTAATTCAATAGGAAGAAAAGATTAATAAAAATGAACATCAATTACAAATGTGTATCCACTTAATATGAAAAGGCCTAACACTTAACCGGAGGCCCAGAAAGAGAGAATAAGGCAGAAAAAAATATTTGAAGGAAAAATAATTACAGATTTCCCAAATACAGTCACAAAAGGATCAAATTTGTTTCCAAGTAACTTACCCTTATCCCAGGAGAAAACTCAACACTATTGAAAAGAACACACACACAGACTCCATCACTTGACAACCTAAAACATTTACAGTGTCTGGAATCCAATAAATAATTGTAGACCTGCAAAGCAGGAAAACATGAACCATAACAAAGAGAAGAATCGACCAATAGGGACATCTGGAATTGACATGGGAGCCGAGGACTTTACAGTAGTAAATATTTCACGTGCTCAGTAAGGCAGAGGAAAAAGTAGCAGAATAAAGAGACACAGGAGACGGAGGGAGGAGAGCCGGTTCAGGCCCACTGGAGGTGAAACTACGGAAGGAGCAATAGCAGAGCGGACTCTGCAGAAGGAAGACAGTCAACTTGCAGCAACAGCAAAGCAACCGCCCCAAATGAAAATAGGAAAAATTCTGGGAAAAAGAATCCGTTGAGCCAGGGGCCAATATATACAAGTGGCTGGAGTCCAGAAGGAGGGGGAGGGCAAGGGATGAAAGGGAACTCCCTACAGACGGGGAGAAGACACGGCAGCTCGCACATCTGATGCAGACAACGTCCAGGCCACACTCAACAATAAGAAGAAAAACACCCAGTGAAGCAAGGGGAACGGTGTGAGCACTTGCAGGAGGGGACCTGAGCAGGGGCTTGCCGCCAGCCACGCGGACAGGGTGCGTTACAACCACAGTGAGACACCACCACACA